GACTTCTCGACCTACCCTATAGCAAGACAATATTCATTAAGGCTCAACTCGACATGGTTCCCCTCCGATACACCGAAATATGGATACCCACAACTCTCGTTGCTAAGTTTCCAAGTAATACACACAAGTTCTAAGCATGATTAGGGGACCCCATTCCTGAGATCCACAAATTACTAGAAAAAGTAACTAATAACAAATAGAGCAAGTCAGCAACCTGTCAGAACAGAGTGGCTAAAAATGTTAGATAATATTTAACAAATAAATATAGCTCTATTTAAAGACAAATGAAATCAGTTAGAGGTTTGGTTGTTTATCAATTACAGCATGTAAATCTGCCCCGTAATGGGGTTTAGCTCGTGAAGAAAGAAGAAAATACAATGGGCAAATGAAGAAAACAACCTATTTCAAGAAAATAGTAGAAAACTGAGAAAGAATATGACAGCTCGAAGCAGCAGCCGAATATCCTCCTCTGTCGTCAGATTTCTCCTCCAAAATGGAAAGATTGCTCCTCCTTGTCGTTTCAGCTCTCAAAAGTGTGTATCTATTGTGATATGTGTGTGTCAGCTAGGATTAATGTCCCTTTTATATCGGGTTCCAGTTTTAGGGTACCCAGCTGAAGTTTGTACGGACATGGTAAATTCTCGTGTCTGGCTATTAACTGTGCAGTAAATCCATGCTCCAGCGCTGCTTCGCTCCAACTTTCGTCTGCTCTGTCTTGCTAATGCTTCATCCACTCTTCTCTGGGCTTAGCACTCTTCTCATGCTTTGTCTTCTTTATCCAACCCTGTTTATTTAAGCCAAAAAAAAAAAAGAGCTACATTTCTCCATGGCGTCGCCATTTTGCTGCTGAGTAAGCCTCCATTTCTCTGTTGTCTTCTTCATCAATGAGCTACATTTCTTCTTTACCCATTCTTCTCTTTTCTTTTGTTATGAATTAAACCCCACCTTCGGGGGGATGAACTCGATGTAGCTCTTGTTTATTTATGTTTTAGTAACTCATATATATTTATGTTGATTTAATAGAGGTTTTTTTATTATTTCATCTTACTGATTTCTTTTGGCCAACATTATTGGTTTGCTATGTTCACTTGAGGCTTGGGAAAGTCCTTGTGTTACGTGTTTGCCTCTATTTGCGTAAGATTTCACTCTTTGAAGTAGAATGGTGAGTACGTAGGGATGAGACTCACCATTTCCTGCCTATAAACTATAAGTATTGCTTGTTTAGTCTAAAACGGGAGTTGGGATTAAACATGTTTGGGTATCTCGGGAGAGAGCCATGTCGGTTTGGGCATTCAACACTTTTAGTTTACTAAAGCATAGCTAGACGTGAGTGAGAGCATTAGAGTGATTCCCCCTCGAATTACCTTCATTTCATATTTATTTCGCATTTTCTGTCTGTTTTCCATTTTCGGATGCTCTAGAGTAGAATCGCAGAATATTTCTGTTCTTGCTCATGTACATTTTTTTGTTGATTTACTATTACATCATCCATACAACTTTAATACTTTATTTCTTAATTTGTCTTTTTGGTATTCTAATTTACTATTTCAAGTAAAACTGTAATCTCTGTGGAGACGACCTTGATTTTATACTACAACAGATTGTTTTGGTGTATACTTGCACCAATTTTCTCTTAGTTGTGAGGAATTGAACAGTGCTCCAATGTCAAAACGCGTTCTCGTAGTGCCTCATTCTGGGAGCGGACGACCAACTTCCGTATCCACCTCATGTCAAGGATGGCGTTGACATGGTAGAAGATGAGTTGGGGAAAACGGGAGCCCCACCTTTCCTTTTATAGCCCAGGTTGCTTTTGAACCAAAGGTAATTTGGTCCATATGCCAAAACCACCATCGGGAAGTTCAACCAACCAGTCAGAAAGGTGGACCCCCAAGGTCGGAATCCTAGAGCGACAGTGTGGCACGAGACCACAAACAGTTACCACCGTACCCTGCGTTGGCATGCGGGTAAGTCGACACGACCTCTGTACGAAGAAGACGCCGAAGACTACAACCTGACACTCGTAGTCTGCAGGTCATAGGCCTGCAGGTGGAGGCGCCACCCACTAATTATCGGGGGCATACACTCCACCGTCAAGACCTTGTACAACTCGGTGCACCCCTCAACCTCAACCGTTATCCTTCCTGGTTGGCCATCCACATCTATAAAAGGGAAGGATTCCCACCTTTACCAAGTACGTGAAAAATCTTTAATTGAAACCCTAAGGTGTCTACCCTATTTTCTTACTCTGATTATTAACTTCAGCGTCTGAGTGTATTAGGTGGGACACCGCACTGACGTCAAGTTTTCTGCTTGGCACAAACAATCGTTTGAGAGACACATGTACCTCTCCAAAATTCATCGTCAACAGAAACTATTGTGAAGCGTAATGACTAAAATCAACCCACAACAGTTCGAAAAACTATGGTAATTTAAGGGGAGATTGGAGGCTTCCACATGTGGGATGACATTAGAATTCATCCTTCATCTTGGCCTTATAAATCCCTTTTTCTTTTCTTTTGTATTTATGATACCTTAACCATATCTTTAAATTAGAGAGCTTTTATGTAGCTTCCTTCTTTTGTATGTTCCTCACATACCTCTTTTAATGAAATGGTCTGCTGTGATACCTCCTAAACAAAACAAAACAAAACTAAAAAGAAGAAGAAAGAAAAAACAGAGAGATTGCAGGGTAAAAGAGTTTAAGACATACCTATAACTCTTAGAAATTGACTCTGCTTTTCGTACTTTTTCATAGTTCAAGCAACAAAAATCTCTGAAATGGCTTATATTAATACTCATGGGGTTCCATCTCAAAACTAATTGGCAATGAGAAGAGTAGCTCATGTCTATTATAAACCCAAGTAAGCTTGGTCCCTTCTTTTATCAATGTTGAATCCTTAACATGCCCCTCAAGATCGTGGCTCTTTTGGCTTATCAATCTTGGTCGGATCCTATCTTTGGACCGGATACTCGGAGCTTTTTTTGGCAAAATTAATTGGCAATGAAAGGATTAACCTATGTTTATTATAAACCATTGTTAAAGATCCCACATTAAAAAGAGAAGGGACCTTACAATTAATAGTTTATATTAAACATGAGCTACTATTATTGTCAATTGGTTTTGAGATGGAATCTCGTGAATATTAATTTACAACTCACACTACGCTAAATTGTTGGATAGTACTTTTATAGTTTAAAAGAACTTTAATGGAGTCTCATCATGCATATATCCTCATCGTGTCGTGGTCCCAGCGAGCAATGAGTGAGATGACTTCTTTTTTTTCTTTGAAGTATATCAATATGTGAATAGGAATTAACCCACGACCTTTCAGTTAGAATATATACCTTATCTAGTTTAGCTAAGTTTAGGTGTAAACTTTTTTTTTTATAGTTGCAAACATTATATAAATTGTATCATAATGGCTAAGAAATTTAAGTTTGACTAAATATAAGTTAGACTTTTGACTAAACTTCTTGTTAAGAAACGCTTGAGAGTTGAATCTAAGAACCTTGCTAATGAACAARACTCGTAGAAATCAATCCCAAAAACTCTAAAAACAAGTATGGAATCAACCGAAAGAAAAGTTTATGAACAGATTACCTTGTTGATCAATATCAAGAGTAGAGAAAACTCGTTTCTAAACTCGTGATTCGAATCACTTCACAAGAGGTATGATCAACACTGCTTGGATGATCCTAACATGCAAATTCTAAAGACACAAGAAATTGCACAAGAAATGGGAGATAAAGCTCTCAACCAAGCCAATGAGAAAACTCACTTTTCATTAAACTTCAAATTGTGTCTACAACAAGGAATATCAAGGCTATATATAGTCATCCTAGCAAGCCATATGAAAGGTCTTAAGAAAATGAAATGACTCATAACTTACAAGAAATGAAAAGGCTTGCAAATGAAAAGTCATAACTTAAATAAATGAAAAGGCAAGCAAATGCAAAGGTTAAGAACATAGAAAGCCAACCAAAATAAGTGCAATCCTGTCCATAATGAGGGATATGATTGTTTGACTTGATTTAATTTGAATTGAATGAGTTCACTTTGACTTGTCTTGATGGAGCTGACTTTGACCTTGATCAAGTTGACCTCGACTTACCTTAAACACACTTACAAATGTGAATTGTTGAAGTTTCCTAGCTCTTGATCTTGTAATCGGTCGATGAGGCATGACAAAGGGAGCTCCTCGGTTCATATCACTTCTCTTGGACTTTAAATTTAGGCCTAAGATTGAGTAGATTATTGTTAAGGACACTCTGTACTCAATACTGTCAAGTATCTCCACAACGACATGACATTGTTCACTTTAGGTATAAACCCTCACGATTTAATTTTTGATTTCAGAGGTCTCAATACCAATTAAGATATTGTCATCTCTTATGCATCATGGATTACTCCCTGATCCGTAGTTAAATGTACGACTTTGTTTGTAATCTTTTACAAACCCAACATATATTATATAATGAAAAATATTTTGGTATACCAGTGAATTCTCATCTTCATACTGATCACCAATAAATATTTTACTATAAAAATTTAGTGGTGACTGATAACGACTTGTTGTTTATATAATTAAACAACACAATCTTAATACATAAACTTAACTTTTCAAGAGGATAAACTTTTTTAAGTAGGCTGCCCATTTAGAACTTTTAACTTACATTGAATCATTCTCAACTTTTAAGGATTGAATTAAGCCCATGTGGTTTATTAGTATCAGAATTTCAAAGAAGTGATGTAATCGCCAAAGTGGCCCTAGTTAATAGTTCAGTCGTTATTGCACCTATCTCTAATTAAGAGGTTGCGAGTTCGAAATCTCACCCCCACATGTCATGCTGAGAAAAAAAAAGTCATCTAATCAGTTTATTAGTAATTTATTAACTAACATGTATACCATAACATTTTCCTATATATTAAATCACTTAAAACTAAAAATTAATTGAGAAATTACAAAAAATCTAATCTTTAAAATGCTTGAGATATTGGGGCACGAAATAAATATATTCATAAGCTTTTATTCTTTTCTTAAGAAAGTTAACTTTAAAACTTAAAGCTCTCAATTTTCAAGTGTAGAACCACCCTTCACACGATGTTCAACATTTTGATACCTGTAACACTTAGCACAGACTAAATAATAGCCAAAATTAATCGCACCAATTACAGATATCATCCAATAAACATTATCAAGTCTCCCTTGGTTGATATCATCAGGCAACCATTTCGTAACCCTTCGAAGCAAATCAATCAAAGCCGGGCTTAGATAGTACGAAACAGCAATCACCATCGAGATCATCGCCGTTGCCGTGCTGCGCAATGAGGTCGGGAATTCCTGATAATATAATCCAACTTGTCCAGGGAAATGAAAAACTTCTCCAATCCCAACCAAAACCAGCTGTGGGAAAAGCCATATAGACAACATTGGAACTATTGCCTCAGGCTGGCCTTCAAGGTGGTGGGCATTGGCAATCTTCAGCCTTTTTGATTCTACCACTGCTGACACAACCATCCCAAGAACGTTCAAAACATGGCCGATGCCGACTCGCTGGAGGGGTCTCGGCGACCATCCGAGAAACTTCTCCCAGAGTGGGAAAATAAATCGGTCGATTAGGATTAGAAAGACGGTTGTGGAGATGAACACAATGACGAGGAAGGAGCTTGCGGGGATTTTGAAGTTCGGACCAATGTGACGGTCCATGGTTACGGCTTGGAGGATGGTTAAGCTTGCTTGGATTGCTATGGGGACTGAGAGGAATATGCTGGTTGACCAGAGAGGGAGAATTCTAAGTAGAGTCTTGAAATCTTCTACTTCTTCTACTTTACACAGATTCCATGGTTTGGCAATGGAGCCATCCGAATTGACGTCTCCTTCTGTTACTAGAGTCGCCTTATTCAAACAGCTCCAACAAATATTAAAGTTGAAAACCTTTTTGGTTAGTGAAAAATCATAGCGTATAAATGGTGTAAATGCTTAAACTTTTTGATTACTAATTATGTAATTTGAGCATTCACCATTGACTTATAATAAGGTTAAATTAAAAAATAGAAAATACTCCAGCGTTGATTGTGTTAAGGATCCCACATGGAAAAGAGAAGAGATCTATCAATGGTTTATAATAGACATGAGCTACTCCCTCCCATTGTCAATTGGTTTGAGATGGAACATAATAAATCAATGTTCGATCCCTTTTTGAGGTTTCATCTCATTGCCATGTTTMTATTTAGTTATTTACCATTCCATTAAATAAATTTTAGTTCGAAACCAATATAAAACCATAAACGTAGTTCAATGATAAAATAAAAAATTTGAGGCAGGCACATGAAAGTCAATCCATACCCATAAACAAAATCTATCTCTTCTTGGTGGCATTTCTCAAATACAATATTTATTTGTTCAAGTATGTTAATAAAATAATAATTTAATGTCACACAAGTTTTCTATTTACAAATTATAGCTAGTAAAGTATTTATGGAAGAACTTGAACATTTTTAATATATTAAAGATAAGATTTAGATTTAAAACAATCAAATAAAAGTTAGCTAAAAGATTAGAAATTATTTGGTGTATTTAATAGTTCTAGTTCCAAATAGTCCTGAATCCTGACTATTGACAGCTTTATACAGCATCTTTTTATAAAGTATTTGGGTGAGCCTTATTTAATAATTAATGACGTGAACCAACTCACAGCTCGAAATTATTGTCGATGGAAACTGCCAAATACTCTGATTGAATTATTGGCATTTTTCTAAAGACGAGACTACAAACAAAGAACAATTATTTATTTATTGGAATAGAAAAAATATCAGATAATTTAAACTGTCTGTTACGAATTTAAAATATAAGAAATTCATTTTTGACTTTTCCAACATTTTAAGGGAAAAAAAAGATTCCTCATATTATCCCGAGGAACCAAGATCAAATATTGGAGTAAAATTTATTTATAGCTTTTGAGCCATTTGCATTTTTCTTGTCCTTTTGTAATGTTTTGATACTTTGAGGTTGATTAATTAATACGTTTAATGTTAACGTAATCCACTACATTATAGAATATTTAAATTGGATTCGTTGGAATTGATTGAATTATTTACCTGTAGACTATCTAGAAATATAAGATTTTTGCCAATATATTTAATCACAATGAGTCAATGGTCTAAAGTTCCACCATTTGGAGAATATTTGAGTTAAGATACACGTATATCTTTTTGATAGACGAGACTATTTTAATAGGTATTTTTTTCTCTCCCTTAAATTATAATTTTTTTTAGTCTTAGAGACATTGTATTGTTGATTTTGGAAACCTTTTTACTCGTAGGATTTTGTCGTGTTTGGATTTTTCTATGACTACCGTTGAATTTTATATGATTTATTAGTTTATTTTTAATAATTTTTTTTAATTTACTTTTGAATAGATATTATTTGACCATTTATTTAAGTTTTGAAAATTCAACTTGTTAGAGTTATTACATATTTGTTTTGTATTCCAATTTAATAGGTAGGATGGTGATTGAAACTTGAACATAAAGAAATAAATAGGTTATCTATTAAGTTTAGACTCGAAATTGAAAAATTATGATTATTTTAAATAATAAAATCAATATATATAATATATATTAAAAAATGAGAGAAAAAAAAAGGTGAAAAATTATTATTAAAGCATGGCATACCTAAAACTCTTTGTTAGCACTCCATCCATCACCTTCCCAACATGCTCCTCACCATAATAGTAATCATCACTCCCCGGCAGCCGGGACAACTTTTTCCGAGCAGCAGCGACGAGAACTTGAGCGAGCGTCGTGAACGGGCTTCCACGGGGCATATGGCTACAATAAAAGCGATTTCCAAGCAAGAAAATGGCAAGCCCGACGACGTTTGCTGCAAGGCTGATGCCAAAGCCCCACCCCCAACTCACATTGTCCTCAATATACACGATGGCCGTGGAGCTGGCCAAAAATGCAGCGTAGAGGGTGAAGAAGACGTTTTGATCTTTTACGATGTCCAACGTAAAGCGCGAGCCGCCGACTCCAATGGATGCAAGGACGATGCCCAAATACAGGATTGTGTATTGGAGTTTTGAAGGGGAATGATCATCACCTTGGGGCCTCAAAGGGTTGATTGTTGCTGTTAATGTTAGTGAAATTATGCCCTGCAATAGAAATTAAAAATTAAAAATTTCTACTTTTATTAGAATGTTACCAACAAAAAACTTCAATAAAAATTTAACAATTATTTTTTTTTTAAATCTTTCAATATATCTTTATATGGATTTCTGTCCCCTAAATTGTAAATAATGTAACGGTGGTCAGCGAAAATATGAGTGTTGTCCGATAAATTTATAAATATTTTTGTAACTATGTATTAAAAATTGTCGGGTGAAGAGGAAATAAATTATNTGGAGAAGTTGCTGGAATTTATAGCTGTGCAGAATTGGTTAGGTAGGTCCTAAAACGATGGTGAATCACCCATTTCCAACTCTTTTGACTGACCAAATCGTGCTCAAACTGATAGTGGAACACTTCTTCTACACGTATGCATCGGTTGGAACCACCAAAACGCATTGGAAGACGCGTTTCATTAAGGGCAAAGTTGGAAGAAAACCAGTTTTTCTGCAGGCTTCCCAGGCGCCTGGCGCCTCCCATGTAAGTTTTTCCGTCTTTTTGCTTCTTTTGATTAATTTGCACTCCCAAATGGTCCTAAAATGTCATAAATACAATATAAGCCAACCACAAACCATAATATATGAATTTTGCATGAATTGGAACTCAAACGACCGAGAAAAATCTGAAACAAAGCTGAAACATAGTAAAAAAAACATCTAAAACCTTCTTTTTACGCATGTAAACAAGCGTAATCAGTCGGTCAGTACGCCGGGGCGGCATCCTCGAACGCTTCCGCTCTTCCTTTTTCTCTGCCGAGCTGGTCCTGGGCCTTCCCACAAATTTCTTGAAGTAGCCATCTTGAATAAGATCCTCAATTTGGCGCTTCAACTCCCAGCAGTCCGACGTGTTGTGGCCGTGCTCCAGATGGAAGCGGCAATACTTGTCCTTGCTGCGCCTCTCCGGGGCTCCCCAAAGCTTCTCAGGACGTTTGAGTAGTTTTTCCATTCCGGACTCCTCGATGTTCGTTAGGATCTCGGAGATTGGAATCGTGGTCGGGGTGAAGCGTTCCTAAGGTCGGCTCCTGGTGGGTCCGTTCACCGCCCTTCGAAACTCAGCTCGGCCACTGGAGAAAGATCCCTTATCCTTGGACTTGGGATCCGCCTTTTCATCTTTTCCGCTTCTATCCCGGCCGATCCTTCGTTCTGGTCGGCTGGTTTTGGTTCGGAGGAGCTCCTGCCCATCGATGACTTTTTTCGCCTTCTGCAGCAGTTCGGCGAAGGTGGCCGGGGCCTCCTCTCCAAGCTTCACCGTGAGGGCTTCGTCAGCTAGGCCGGTGAGAAAGTAGCACATGGCCGAGTCATCAGAGTAGTGTGCGACCTTCAATTGTTCCTCCTAGAATCTGGTGACATATTCCCGCAGCGTCTCACCTTCCTTTTGCCTGATGGTGGCGAGATGGGTCGCTGTCTTTTTGTCATAGTGCCAAGAGGAGAATTGGGCAAGGAACTCTTTTCTCAGCTGAGCGTAGGTCGAGATCGACCTGGCTGGCAGTCTCCGATACCACAAACGCGCGCTGCCGGTAAGCGCGATCTGAAAGGGGCGGCATTTGATTGCATCTGATGCCGCTTGGAAATCCATGAGGCCTTCAAAGACCTCAACATAATCCTTGGGGTCCTTCGACCCATCATAAGGTTTCACGGTAGGAGCTTTGAACTTCGGAGGGATCGGTGCTTCCAAAACGTYCGAGGTGAAGGGCGATTCTCCCAAGTCGCCATCGTTCAATGAACCTTCTTTCTACTCACATTTGGCCTTTAAGGCCTCCACCTGAGCGTCGAGCTDGCCCCTCAGCTGGTCGAACTCCGCCCTTGTGATCACCCCTGCGGGAGTTGCTGGGTTGTGAGAGGATTCAGCCTGCTGGTTGGAGCTCC